AAGTACAGGAGACAAATGCGGGAATTAGTCCGATGAGGGGGTTGAAAACAGGTAGATAACAAGAGAAAATCTTGCCCAAAATCCAAACAAAGTCAATAAAAATATTGCGATCTAACTAACCACTACTCACTACTGTATCCAATTGAGTCCATCTTTGATTCTATTTTAATTTTTATCTGCATTCTTTTACTTTGCTTCTTCTCATTACTCTTTTCCCCAATTCTTCTTCTTCTTCTGCCCTTTTTAAAGCTTTACACTTTCTGCCATTTTGTATCCAAAACAAGAAAAAGGAGACCCTTGATCTGTGAGCAAGTTTGAAATGCCCACCAACTGTTTGCTAAAAAGACATGACATAATTGCTGTCTGCTTTTGTTGCTTCGTTTGCAAGTGATCGACTTTGACGGGTACTGAAATCTCACTCTCTTCTTGTAGGGTTTCTTTTCTTTCACTTTGTTGTGGGTCTGGTTCGAGAATAATTAAAGAGTTTCCTTTCGTTTACTTGGAGATTTTAAATCATTAAAGACTCTCATGTGAGTCATTGAGTGTTCTCTCGTTTGCTTCATTTACAAGCTTTTCCTTTAATCTTCTTCTCCTATTTTCCTTTTTTTATCACTTTGAGGTTTTGGGATTTGGGTTCTGCTTCTCTCTCTCCTTGTGCATTTCACCATTCTCGTTGCGAACCAGTAGGTTTTTACAGCTTGATCTTCTTCCACATTTGATCAATTTCATGGCGATTGTGTAGGAGACCTGACTTTGTTTTTTCCGCCAATGAATTCTATCAGTTGGGCATTGTTAGCCTTTCTCCTTTGTTCATCTTTGGGTATCGAAACCCTAACCCAAACATGCCATCCGGGTGATTTGTTAGCTCTGAAGGACTTCGCCGGAAGTTTCATTAACGCTTCCATACTTTCATCTTGGTCGAATGATTCCATTTGCTGCCATTGGGACGGCGTCGTTTGTGAGGATGACGCCAAAAATCTTTCAAAAACCCTAAACAGGGTCACCATGCTGAGCTTGTCTGCAAAAGGTCTAAAGGGCGAAATTCCCAATTCTCTACCTCGTTTGGAAAAATTAAGATCTCTCGATCTATCGTTTAATCAATTACAAGGCGAATTCCCCAAAAATCTCTCCAATTTGATGGATCTCGAAGTTCTAAACGTCTCAAGCAATTCGTTAACCGGGGACCTGTTCGACATTGGTAAATTCCCACATCTCATAGCATTAAATCTCAGCAACAACTCTTTCGCCGGTGAAATTTCTCCACAAATTTGTACTTCCTCTACAAACCTTCAGATTCTCGATCTATCAATGAATCATTTCACCGGAAACCTAGAAGGCTTGAGCAACTGTCACAAATCTCTTCGAGAACTGCTTGTGGATTCCAATTCGTTTTCCGGCGACCTCCCGGAGTTTATATACTCAATGTCATCCTTAAAGCTGCTACATCTTTCTTCCAACAACTTCTCCGGTCAGATAACCACAAATCTCAGTAAGCTTTCCAACCTCGAATCATTACTTTTATTCGGGAACCGGTTTTCAGGTCCATTTCCTAATGTCTTCAAAAACATGACACGTTTAGAACAGCTGAACGCACATTCGAATTCCTTCTCAGGGCCATTACCTTCTACCATAGAATCATGTTCCAACTTACAGATTCTCGATCTCCGTAACAATTCATTTTCCGGCGACCTAAGTTTAAATTTCTCAAAACTATCCAACCTCTGCACTCTTGATCTTGGTAGTAATCGTTTTCATGGTCTCTTACCAATCTCACTTTCCAATTGTCATGAATTGAGAATCCTGAATCTGGCCAAGAACGCATTATATGGTGAAATGCCGATTCCATACATGAACCTTTCAAACCTCTCATTCCTCTCATTTTCAAACAACGGAATCACCAATTTACCTCGCGCTTTATCTGTTCTACAACAATGCAAGAATCTCACCACTTTGATTCTGACAAAAAACTTTCAAGGTGAAGAACTCCCACGATTTGTAAATGGGTTTGACAGATTAATGGTTCTTGCAATTGCAAATTGCGCCCTCAAAGGTCAAATCCCACCATGGTTAGTAAACTGTCCAAAACTTGAAGTTCTTGATTTGTCATGGAATCAGTTGACTGGAGTCATCCCTTCTTGGATTGGTCAAATGGAAAGACTCTTTTACTTGGATTTTTCAAACAATTCATTAACCGGTGAACTTCCGAAAAGTTTAACAGATTTAAAGAGTCTCGTGTCTTCAAACATAAGTTCTTCAATTCTCACCTCATCAACCGGGATTCCATTATATGTGAAGAAGAATCAAACTGGAAAAGGTCTTCAATACAATCAAGTTGCAAGCTTTCCTCCATCAATCTATCTCAGCAACAATAACATAAACGGGACGATTTTACCCCAAGTTGGAAGATTAAAACAGCTTCATGTATTGGATTTGAGCAAGAACAACTTAACCGGGACAATTCCCGACACGATTTCCGAAATGGGAAACTTGGAAGTTCTTGATTTGTCATCAAACAATCTTCATGGAACAATTCCAGCCTCTTTAAACAAGCTCACGTTTCTTTCAATGTTCTGTGTAGCTTATAATCACTTAGAAGGTGCGATTCCGACTGGAACCCAGTTTTCTGGTTTCCCAAATTCAAGTTTCGAAGGGAATCCCGGTCTCTGCGGGCAAGTCCTGTCTCCTTGTAGTGTAAACGGAATTCCATCCGTCAATTCCGATTCCGGTAGAAAACTCGGACGGAATGGTATCGTCGGAATCACACTCGGAATCGGAGCAGGAATCGCAATCGTGTTAGCATTCATTCTTCTCAAAATGTCAAGAAAGAGACACGGCGATTGGATTCCGGAGTTGGAGGAGAATAACAGTAGGAGGAATGGAAATGGAATCTCGGGTGTGTTTGCATCTTCGAAACTAGTTCTATTCCCGAGTTTTAATTGTAGAGAGCTCTCGGTTTCCGATGTAGTGGAATCAACGAATAACTTCAGTCAATCAAATATAATCGGATGCGGTGGATTCGGGCTCGTGTACAAAGCCGACCTTCCAAACGGTTCAAAAGCCGCAATCAAACGCCTTTCCGGCGATTGCGGGCAAATGGAACGCGAATTCCATTCCGAAGTCGAAGCCCTCTCAAGAGCCCAACACAAGAATCTCGTATCCCTAAAAGGGTATTGCAAACACGGAAACGATCGACTCCTGATATACTCCTACATGGAAAACGGAAGCCTAGATTATTGGCTACACGAAAGGGTAGAACAGGAATTACCATTAAAATGGCGAGTTAGGTTAAAGATAGCAAAAGGGGCAGCAAAGGGATTATCATATCTCCATAACGATGTGAAAATTATCCATCGGGATATTAAAACTAGCAATATCCTCTTGGATGAAAAGTTTAAAGCCCATTTAGCTGATTTTGGATTGTCGAGACTATTATGCCCTTATGATACTCATGTGACGACTGATTTGGTAGGGACATTAGGGTACATTCCACCTGAATATGGTCAGACACTTTCCGCGACTTTTAAGGGCGATGTTTATAGTTTTGGGGTTGTGCTTTTGGAACTTATTACAGCGAGAAGACCCGTTGAAGTTGGAAAGGGGAAGAATTGTAGGGATCTTGTTTCGTGGGTGTTTCAGATGAAACTTGAAGGGCGATATGGGGAGATATTTGATGTGTCTGTATGGGATAAGAGCTGTGAGAATCAGTTGTTGGAAGTTTTGGGGGTGGCTTGTAAGTGTCTGGATCAAGATCCAAGAAGGAGACCGGGTATTGAGCAGGTTGTTTCATGGCTTGATGGGGTTGTAGAAACAAGGGCGTAACTATGGCTCATGTTTTTAAGTGGTAGATGAAGGTGTCAAACTGTAAAAAGTAATAACTATAGAAGTCTTTGATCCAAGTTATTAAAAGTTTATTATAGTTTTATTTTGTTGTTGTTATTCTCTTGTGTAAAGAGCATGTTTTAAAGTAAATGTAAAATGTTAGTGTTCTAACTGTGTTTTCGTAGTTAAACTAGGTTTTGCATCCTGTGATGTGGTGAGTGTGATTGCATTGTTAAATTAGCATGATGTGTAAATTCAGAGAGGATTACGTAACATCTAAGCAAAAGATATGTACAGTGTTAAACAAAAAGTCAGAGTGTGACAAAAAAAAGAAAGTAAAAGTGATTATTATCTTTTTTCTAATAAGATGATAATAAACAGTAGAAAAAAGGTATAAATGTTATTTCGTTTCTATTTCTTGTACTAGGGACGAACCTGAAACAAAAACAAACGTTAGGACAATCTGAGTTAAAAAAAACTTATAGGAACAAAATGTACGCACTACCTGCCTAAAACCATAAGGAACATTCATATAATTTATCAAAAAATTAATTAAAAAATTGGACCATATTTGAAAAAAATTGTTTGTTACATCAGAAATACAAGAATTTTACACCAAATTTGAAAACAAATCCGAAAGTTGGGTCAGAACTGTAAAATATGAAAAGCTTGAAAGGCTGGACAAAATAGGCCAAAAAGATACCAAGGGAATAGGGGAGCTGGGTTGGGATCAAACCCTCCATCTTTGAGAAGGGAAATGTACCTAGAGCGTCGAGCGGCAATTTTGCATTTAAAATGCCATCAATTTCTTATAAAGACTAAATACAAGTTAATATTCATGACACTCATGTAAAAGTTGATAAATGTAAGTAGGTATAATCAAACTTATAAATAACTAACATGACTTGACGGTAATGTTAAGGCTCAAATTTTTTCGAGTTGTAGTGAGTCACGTCGTTTGTAAGATGTTATTTAAGGCAACAATTATATATATATTAATAACTTTATATATTTTTTCTACTATTATTTATTTTTATACATATATGACATAACGGCATTTTGTTAAAGCTTGACGGCAAGTACAAACCTAATCATGACTAGCTTTTTAGAACATTGGATATAATAGCCTCCATCTACGTATAGTTTGATTAAAAATGTAACATTTAATTTGACATATACAGTTTGTGGGTTTATTTTTTACTTCAAACCATATTCTAGGAACTATTCATGTAGTTACTTGGCTTAGAGATTAATTGAGTTGACTGTATAAATAGGAGAGAAATAATATTCTAATAAATTCTCAATGAGGTGCTTTGAAAAGTAGTTGTCTGACGATGACTTTAATCGAGCGAGAAATTAAATATCATCATACTTTTTGTTCCTATCAATCATCCTACCCATTTAAATAATGACATGTGTCACATTAATATACTAAAATATCATTAAATTTCATTAAATGAGCATTGAATGTTATACATGTCACCATTTAATTGGATAGAAGGATTTCTAGGAACAAAAAATAGGAGGATATTTAATTTATCTTAATCGGGTTTTGATTGTAATGTTTTGACCAAAGACCGGACTTTTGGGCAGTGGCGGCCCGTATGCACCTCAAATCAAGTTTCATATCAAGTGAAAGCCCCTCTTTAAAGTTATGATAAACAATTCCTTTTATAGGCTTAAAATAGATACATGAGCTTTTAACCAACAACAAGCATTTCTTGTTGTTTACGATGTCCTAAGCAAAGGCAATGCATGTGAAAGAGTGATAGACCCCGTTGCTCAAACAAGGAACTTGGCTTTCGCTTGTTAATGAAAGACCTTAAAGGGTAGATGATGTAGGGTTCAAATAACATGAAAAATTATCATTTGCTTATATTATTGTCAGTTTTGGACGGAGTATTATACAAGGTAACTAATGCAGAAAGTCCAACCAAGTTTTGGTTGAAGCTCAAATCCTTCTACATGACTAAGTCTCATATGAACAAGTTATTTCTCAAACAATACTTGTTTTTTAGGACTGAATGAACATTCTATTTTTAAGGATCATGTGTAACACCCGAGTTTTCAGGCTAGAATCTTTGGACATTTTTAGTTAAACTAAAATTTTAGAAAAATAAATAAAATAAGAATTGATTAAAATTAATTAAGATAAATTTAATTAAAATAAGTAAGACTAGTATATTTAAAAGTTTAAGAGTTAATACATGATTTTTCGAATCAAATTTAAGATTTATGCTAGAAGGACTAAAGTTATCAACTTAGAAAAAAACTTGGGTTTGAATTTGCCCTAACTAGGTTTGGGCTAAAGGTTAAGATATTTTATGTTTGGGGGATTGAAATAGTAATATTAAATATATGATAAGATTTAGGGATATTTAGGTAGCCAAATGATAAGAACTAAGAAATGAGGTACCACAAGGGTCAAATGTTGAAACTTATGAACATAAGTCTCCTACTCTCTTATTCTCCCTCTCACTTAGAGAGGAGGGAGGAGGGAGGAGGGAGTCATTCCCTCCCTCCCAACCCACTGAACCCATTGCCACATCAGTTTTTCTCTTTTATTTTTCTTCATATTTCTCAACCCACAACACACGGAAACTCTATCTTTTTCAACCCACTCAACCTACTCAATTAAAAAAAAATACAAAACAATCAAGGTAAAATCTTAATTAGCAATAGAGTTGCCGCCGGTACCACTCCCTCTTCAGCGGATTGTTTAATTGGTTTCACTAACTCACTTCACCCTCTCTCTCTCTCTCATTTTCTTTTGTACCATGTGTTTTAAAACTTGTATCTTAGTTGTTTAGTATTTTTTTTTAATTAACTGGGTTGAGCGAGTTGAGAAAGATAGGATTTCCGTGTGTTGTGGGTTGGGAAATATGAAGAAAAATGAAAGAGAAAAGCTGATATGACAGTGGGTTCAGTGGGTTGGAAGGGAATGACTCTCTTTTCCCTTAGACGATTTCAATTTTAGAGAGCTAGGGTTGGGCGATTTCAAGAGCCCTTGCAATACTAGAAGTTGCATCCCATTGTTCTTAGAAGATTAAGCAATCGCGACACTTAATCAAGCTACTAGAGGTACAAACTCTCCATTTTCTTCTTCATTCGGAGGTATGGAGTTATATTCTTATTTGAATTCTAAGAGTTAATATAATGATTAAATCAAGTTTAGAGTTAGATTATGTGTTACAATATTAATCAAGTGTTGCAATCTCAAATCTATGGTTGAATTTGAAATCATAGAGCTTCAATGGATGTTTTGAGCCTTAGTTCAATGAATTCATGAATTGACCTTGTTAATTTCGAATTTGATTATGAAACTAAGTTCCTAATATGATTCAGATACAGATTATTGTATGTTATGTTCAAATTATTGAACACAATCCGTTGTAGAAGTCATAAATGGTGTTTTGAAGCTTAATTGTTGAATCAAGCATGTCATTGATGTGTTTTAGGATGTTAATTAGGATTTAAAACATGTATTTTATGAAAATTAATAATCCAAAGTCGTTAGAAGTGAAATTGAAGTGATTACAGCAAGTTAGAGATTAAAAATGCTAAAAACGTGAAGTTGTGCATGCATGTCTGATGGCCCACTCAACAAAATGGAAACATGTTAGTTTTGAAAAAATAATTTTGGTCTATTTGACATCTTACTTACGCCATTGCCACGTGACAACCACGTGTCATCGTCTGCATAAGTGTTCGTGTCCCCCTTTTGAACATTCAGCACTATTTTAACTAAACATACAAAGAACCACCACCTCCATATCAACAGCAGCAATGTTTTCGTACTGCAGGTTCATTGGCTTCGCCATTAACAAAAATCTTCAGCAATCCGCAGTTAGGGTTCATGTCTATCCCTCTAACTTCTTTTCCTCTCTACCCGCACATCCTAATCACAAGGTAAAAGCAAAAACCACAACTTATTAACAGGATTCTATTAAATCTGTTTGTTAATAATTAATCGATATGCAGGATTCGAATTTGGTTGATGATATCAGGCCAACCGGATCGGAATCGGGATCGGGATCGGAAACTGGTGCAGATGATCGTGTAAACGTTGTGAGATCAACTGCAACTCCGTCATCTTCTACCTCTGAAAGAAGGGAGAACAAGAGTTTCGTGGCGGAGACGGCGAAGCAAGGAGTTGCGAAAGCTTTGGAAACGGGATTGGAAATCGGAGAAATGGCTAAAAAGACATTGGATAATATGTGGGATATTACGAAGGATACTACTAATATGGTGAAGGAGGCGGTGACCAGCGACCCGGAGGAGAAAAATGATGTTCCGCCAACCGATCGATTTGTTGATGATCTGAGGAAACGCGCCGACGGTTATGATTTGAAGAAGAAAGGTTAAGTGGGGAAGTAGTAGTAGGTTCATAGTAGAGGGGTGTTATATGTAAATTGTTTTCAAAAGTTACACTTCTGCCCCTTTAAATTTAATTATGTTTGTTTCGAACCCACAGTCTTCTTTATCAATTATTTTAAAAAAATTATCAATTACTATTTTAAAAAATTCACTTATTTTAAAAAGTGACGAATATAACTTTACTTATAAACTATTTTAAACTATTTATACTTCTATCTATATTCGAGACTATCTATATTTCAAGACTTAAACCTTCGATTTCATTAAGCAAAAGACTGGGTCTCCGGGGTGTTATTAGAATATAAGCTTTTTCATATTTAGTAACATTTAAAAAGTTTTTTCAAGAGTTTTGAAACAAATTTCTCAATAAACATTTTGTATTTGGTTAACTTAATTTTTTTCTAAAACAAATTTCTCAATAAACATTTTGTAACGCAATGATTACACACTGGACCAAGTATGAAAATTTTTATTGGAAGAAAAGAAGTCTGGATTCTTTTGTTAAAGAAATCGTCTAATATAGTTATTTTGTTAACGGTTATTGTCATGACTCTTGAAATTTCACAAAATATTTGAAATGTTATAATACTTTATAAGGGTATAAATTCAATAATTACGTGTTAATAAAGATAATTAAACCTTTAATTAATGGGTTACCACGTAGAACATAACAATACAATGTTCTAAAAAAACTCGAACAATACAATGTTCTAAAAAAACTCGACTCCGTAATACACATGTCACCAAGCTTTAATAAAATATCGCCTTAAGTTATATATATATATATATATATATATATATATATATATATATATATATA